TGTGACATTTAAATATTGCATGTCACACTTTTTTCCCTAAGTTCCATTTTCTTTAAAATAAATAATTGTAATACCTAGCTGAAAGAAAGCTACTCATTACAGGTAATCATTTTAGAAAATTAGAAGCTGAATTGTCATTGTACTAACAGTCTAATTGTTGCATCAGAACATTAATGAAGGTGGCATTTAAATTGCCTCGTCAGACACAGGATTCAGGTCCTTTCTAGTATAAAATTTGATTTTGTAAGGTGCTAAGTACCCTTACCCAATCCAGCAAAGTGTTTAACTTTGCAGTCAACAGGACTACTTACTTGTTTAAAGTTAAATGTACTGAAGTGCTTTGTTAGATTAGACAAGAGTGTGCATGCAGCATCATGCAGGTGCCAGCACAGGATTCTAAGAACGGCATACAGTGATTGCTCAACTGTAAAGAATCTTAAAAATGGTATCTTCTGTATTTGCACTGTGCAGGATAACTTACTGAGTCTCTTTATAGTCCTCTGACTTCTCCATCATAAAGAGCTGTCAGCCCAGCTGCAATAAACAATGCTAATATAAAACTAGTAATAATCTCTGCACAAGTTTGCTAACTTGAACCAACCTCTGGCCAAACTCCTCACCTTTCTAGACACAGCAATTTAATGTTCTCGGAATAATCCCAACTGAAAATGCATCAAAATCTGAAGATATGGATAAAAGCAGAAATGTCTAGTTATATGGCCTTAAAACACTTAACTCTCTATGGTTTAAACTTGGAAGAAAATACTCTTATGTCTATTTAATATTTGAAATGACTGAAATTAAATATTATTCTCTGTGGAACAACTGTTCAGAATCTATAATTATAAATGAAGGGAGATGGACAATTTTTGCACTTAGGGAGCTAATCAAAAAATATTTAGAGAGAAGGAAAATATTCACATGGTATTCACTGATCTCCAAAAGGATTTTTGCTGATACTCATCTGGTATTATCTAGGGGAGAAAATGGTACCAGAATTATTTATGTGGCTTGTTCTAGTCATATATGTAGATCCAAAGTGAATAGTTAGAACATGTATGAAACAGATGTACTATCAGGAGTCAGCACTAAGCCCTTGCTTGTTTATTCTCATCCTGGATACCTCACAAGGAACATACAGAATGAAATATCTTGTTGCATACTAGAGTATATGCTGCGTAATTTCAAATGTGTACATTGAAGAATTTTCGTTAAAACTAGGTGAGCAAACAATATCAAAATGCATAGTTTCAATATCTGGGTTCCAAAATCTGGCAAAAAGGAGTATAAAATTAAAGACAGGATAATAAACGCTTGGCTCTAGAGAGAGAGATGGAAAATACCACTAAAAAGAAAAAGAAAAAAAAGCTTTAAATTGGCATCCATCCAGTTTTAATGTGTGGTGGTGTTGAGCAACAATGAAAAAACATGAGTGAATGATCTCTTCTACAGAAATATGAATGTTGAGATGGGTCAGTGGTATAAGCAAGACAGACTGCTTGAGGAATATGCATATTAGAGACATGCTCAAAGTAAAACCCATAAATAATAGAGTGAGGGCGTACAGACTCAGACACTTGTTCACGTAAGCACTTATCTGGGTAAGAGAATCCAGCAGATCAGGATTGAAAGAAAAATACAGAAAGGCCAACATGAGAAGTAGTGGTAGGATGTCCTAAAGGAAGACAGAACAATTTCAAAGGAGAAGACTCCTAGAGCAGACCTTATATGATGGGGTTAATGCAAGGAAGAAGACTTTTTATCTGAGAATTGAGTGCATTTTAAATAATGAATAACTCATAAATAGTCATAGCATCTTTGTGAGGTTAGGTATAACCCCTTTTTACAGATGGGGAAATAGGCAGAGTGTTTGAGAGACGTGATGAAAATGCCACAGAATGATATTAGGAAAACTTGAATAGAAGAAGCCTGATCTCCTGAATTCCACTCTGTAATCACAAGATTATTCTTCCTTCCAATTATTTTTTTAATTAAAAATAATTACATATCTGCTGCAGATAACTTCCATAACTGCAACAGTATATTTTCAAAAAAGAGAAACTAACAAGTGTGAGGCCAAATACATAAGAAAAATTACTAGTATTTTTACAATGTGATCAATATTTTACTCAATGGGTAGGAGCAGATAAAAGGCAAAGCTGACTTTATTGCTAGACAAAAAAACCAAAGCAAGAACATCAGCGGCATGTTATAATGAACAGACAAGCTCTAGAGAAGACCTTTTTTTATGATCTTTAGTAAAAAACAGCTTTTATCACACACACGAGAAATTTTTGCCAGTCAGCCAGCATATAACAGATCAGTGTTTAATATTAAGGAGGACACC